TCGCCTTTACACAGCAAATGTGTATTTATCTTACAATGTTCTTTTTACTCAAATTCAGAAAGAGTCTCTTTAATAACTTGCAATAAACATGTATCTGCAATGGTAGTGCAACTTTAGTTGTTGCAATGAATGTACATTAGAGAAATGTGATAGATAGAAACCACGCAGGAGAGACATACATATATACCTATAGTTAGAAAGGGCCAGAAACCTTCTGGTGAGAGAAAAAGACATGTATGTACATGTATGTATTACATGTCATGTATGTATACACATACAGCACTGAATATAGTCATATTGAGGAAATTATTCTTATTTTCCCCATTGACACTTAAGAGATTAAGATTTTAAGATTTTAAACGGCAATATATCTTTCACCATGAGTACTTCCTGGCCATAAATATATCTGTTTATTATTAAAACAATGTGTTTTATTTCAAGTGAAGTCCCCATGATTGTTAAATATGAATCCAGCTTTCTGGAAAATTATGAATTAGGATCCCACCTTGGCACATTTTTTAAATGTTAAGCTTGTTTTGTAAAAAGATGATCTTGTTTGATCCAAGCTTATTTTTCTTTGAGTCACTGTTCATTTCAAGGGGGCTTATGTCTTTTCTCTTAAGATGCACTTTAAGAGAGGATTTTTGCTTAGTTGTAGAGTCACAACTGGCATTATCTGAGATGTTCTTAGCGGGGGTTGAAGTATTTTGGTGGCACTCAGCCAAGAACTTATCTGCCATTTTCATGGCATCTTGTGAAGATATTGAGCTATCTTCTGGTTGAAGGGCACGTGTTATGATCTTCTCTGCTATTTTGGCACCACTCTCTGCACTCTTAGTTGTTGGTTCCTGCGGCTTTGTCTGTTCGTGGACCTTCTGACGACCTGGTGTTTCCATCGGGCATGCCGATTTCCGGTGTCCATCAATACCACATTTCCAGCAAGTGATTTTTGGCTTCATTGCTTCATCGGATGTTCTCAGAAGACATTCTGACTTGCGATGGCCTTCCAAACCACATTGGAAGCACTTTGGTTTTGATCTTTTTGGGCAGTCATTGATATTATGATCGCCTCTGCAATGTGGACAGTTAATTTCTTGTCCATCTTGATATATTACTATGTCTATTTCGATTAGCTCTAGAGGATTGAAGGGGTTGGGTATTGTGTAGCCTAAATATCTAGGTTGCGATTTGACTATTTTTCTCACATAACAAAACCTATGCCCTGTGAGTACACTGTGTCGTGTTCCATAAGTTGCTCTTCTGCTGTGGAATTTCACGTCTGAGGTACGATCTGCAAATGAGTCCACCCACTGCTCAATTTCCGAGTTGGAAACATGAAGTGGTATACCATGTATCGATACTCGTCGGGAGTTTCGTCCTGCTCCAAACGATGCGCTGGGTGTTGCGAAGTAGTCACTTATTTTGAACTGCTTTCCATTGACGCACAAAGAGCCAAGAGATAATAAGTTGGTTTTTGTTCCAAGACTGTCAGTATAAATTATGTAGGAGCCACTGAATAGTTGCACACCAATTATATTGTCTCCTTTTATTACATCCGGTCGAATTCTATCATCAGCCTGTGATATAAGTTTATCAAGTAGTTCATATTCATTCATTCTGCCCATTCCTCTGGCTTCTAGCTTAAGGTCAGGGTGCATGATGGGAAATTCTCTGCATTCCTCAATTGAGTCACATGTTATTTTTCAAACAAGAATCACTCCTTCCCCACATTGTCTATATCTTCCAGTTTTGCACAAAGAGTGCACTTATGTGCCTAGAAAAGACTTGTGAGAAGAATGTTTTGATAAAGTGTATAGAAAACAAGAAAATTCAGTGAAAAAAATCAGAAAAATTTCAGAAATTTTTTTCACTGAATTTTCTCATTTTTTATACATTTTACAAAACAAACCTTCTCACAAGGCAAATGAGCAAATAAGAAACTTTTCCAGGAGCTCCAAAATAAGTATGGCTACTCCATTTCAGGGGTCGTCTCAATCGTTGCAGTTATTGCAGTTATACAATGCTTTTATACAATCATATAAAGCACTTAGGGTGGGATAATATCCTTTATCATGTGTGCAAAGAACGAGGGAAAGTATCGCAACAGATTTTTGACAGTAAATAATTTTTTTCTAGTAGTTTCTGGCTGTATAAAAATGAATGCATATGAAAGGCCAATGTAAAATCTTTAAGAAAAATTCAAAGAATGGTTTCAAGATCAATTGGATAATCTCAAAAGCCATGTTTAATCCACCCACCAACTAGCTTTTTTTCAAAATACAATCGTCATTTTCACCATCGTCCCTCATTTTTTTTACAATTTTCATGCAAAGTTACATTGTACTTGAACACATGTTTCATCACTTAAAATGTATAAGGAACTCCTTCTGGATTAGGATTATGATAATCCAATATAAGGGGATCCAATTGGGCTATGCTTTTAGTACAGCACACTCATATAAGATGTCATTAGTGTGCCATAAAGTTAGTTCAAAATGTTTTCAAAAATGAATGGTTGGACTTGTTTGACCCCCTGCTGTTTGATCCCCTGTTTGATCAATGGAGCATAACCTCAGCATTTCCCAAACAATTCTGAATACCTGTCAAGTTGACAGTTTAATGTTTGAGTGCAGTTAAACCTGTGTGTGTGTGTGTGTGTGTGTGTGTGTGTGTGTGTGTGTGTGAGTTGTTAAGAAATTCTAAATACCTCTCTTTATGATAATTTCTATGATGTCCTTATTATAGCATTTACTTTGAACAGGTTTTCTGTATCTTGTTTATCAGTAATGATTCACGAGGTATACAGTGCTATTAAAATCATAAATACAGTACAAGTATTTAGTACATCATACCTTTGCCAATAATTTTAGTAAGACGAATATTTTGATCCAGCTTCTGAAAAAACATTGGACATGTTTCTATATGATGATGTGTTTTAACACACTTCCTTATTTGTGTATATCTCCAGATTGATTATTCAAATAATGAAATGAAGGATGATATGCTAAGAATAATTTTTGCATATTCATCAATTCAAGAAATGTTATCCTAACATACACTCTTACCTTAATGTTAACATTAGGGAGATTAAGCTTGCATATAAAATCGAAACGCCAACCTATGACCAATCGCCCACACAAATGCATCGCTAAATTTTTTCTATTCACATTTAGGTTGTGAACATTGCAAGCTTAAAGTCCCTATTGAGAGTCTCTGAAAACCACAATCGATACCATTGAGTGTGTGGTGTATACTTCCTTTATCATTATTTCTAAGATTTACAACCAGAACAACGGCAACGCCAAAGCGTAGCGAATCCCATCGAACAGAAATGGCTGGCATTTTTACAAACGAAATATATAGCAAACATCATAAAAAACACACCAGAAAGGCCACCATTTTCAAAATGGTTGCTCACTAGCCAAGTTGTCATCAGAAGAAATAATATGCTTTTAAGTAGCCACCTATAAAATCTTTGAAAAATCGCATACATGTACTTGTAAAAAAATAACACACATAAAAATGGTGGCCATTTTTCAAAATGGCTGACTACTCCCTAAAGTTTTATAAGACAATGTGCCATGCTTAAAGTATTCACATATCAAATATGAACAAAATCGCTCCACTACTTTTGGAGTTATAGTAAAAAATGTAAAAATGACAGCCATTTTTATAAAATGGCCACCTACTACCCAAAGTGTCATTAGACAGTGTGCCATGTTTATAGTATTCACATATGAAATATGAAACATACCAAATATGGACAAAATCGCTTCACTACTTTTCGATTTATAGTAAAATACGTTAAAATGGCCGCATTCTACCAAAAGTGTCATAGGATGGTGTGCCATGCTTATAGTATTCACATACTAAATATGAACAAAATCGCTCCACTACTTTTCGAGTTATAGTAAAATACGTTAAAATGGCGGCCATTTTTCAACCGCCTTCAACCAAAAGTGTCTTTAGACAGTGTGCAATGCTTATAGTATTCACATACCAAATATGAACAAAATCGCTCCACTACTTTTCGAGTTATAGCAAAAATCGTAAAATAACGAGTAAAGGCCGCCATTTTTCAAGATGGCTGCCATGTGCTTCTTTAATGTCTACATTTTTAGTTTTATTAGCCCTTCATAATTTTTTTACATTTAAAACATATTGCTATTACAGTTTTACATATTGCACCTAAATTACTGTAAAATCGGCACTAAAATGGCCACCATTTTGAATTGAGCGGCCATTTTGAAAATCAGCTTTCGAGCAGAACTTCTACCCCCATAGGGTATATGTGTACAAAATATGAACAAAATCGGGCCAACGGTATTTGAGTTATTGCCCGGACGGACGGACTGACGGACAGACGGACGGACAGACGGACGAACGTACGGACGGACGGACGGACGGAGGCGTTCCCTATATCCCTTCGAACTTCGTTCGATGGGATTATAACATCTTTTTAGCAAAATGTCCAGTTATTAGGGAGGTTAAGATCGCACTATTTTGATGAACGTACACATGGAATGTGTAAACTTATGGTCCCCTATTCACGGTGTTATAGCATGACGGTTACGTCAAGGCAATTTGCAAAATTTTGCAGTAACGATAACAAAAAATGGCGGATGGGAAAGGCAGCATGTCCTCTTTCTCGCCTGTAGGCAATATTCACAGATAAGATCTCCTTTTAAACTACTTCCATTCGGTGACGTATATATGGATGGTTATAAAGACTGGGTCAAATCTGCCATGTGGTCTACAAGAAACAGAATATAAGCTGTAAACCTACCGACTGAGTTTTTTTTGGTCCATTCTCGTGTTTTCTCAGTACATGAGCCACTCAAAATATTAAGTGTAAGTAAACTGTGTATAAACAAGGCATAAAATGAAAAATTCAGAACAGGAATGTGGTGTATATCGTAAATAATAAGGTTTAAAACGCAATGTCGTTAGACGACTACGTATGACCGGAATTCTATGGACGGTAACCACAGTGTTATAGCATGATGGATACGCCACCTCCCTTCTGCACGGCTACGTTCACTGATTTATCCAATAAAATGGCCACGATGGAAGAGAAAACTAAGGTTGGTGCATTATTTTCTACTACTGTGTATCAATGAAAGGATGAACGATTTATGTAAGCATGGCATTCGGTGATACATTCAGTAATGTATATTTTGAAAGTAGTCTTTGCCCGGGGATAACATGAAATAAGAGAAAAACTGTAGAGTTTGAAATTCAAAACTGCACAAAATTTAGTAATTTGTTTATTTTTGTTGTTAGGGCATGGTCTACATTGCCTAAAAACCTTGGGGTATATAGATGTTACCTACATACGATCATACAAAGCCACCCGTGTAGCTCAGCGGAAGCGCAGGTACCTCTTACGCAATAAGTCCCGGATTCGATCCCTGGTTCAGGCAAGACTAAATTTGCTTGTTTGCGTGAAGTACTTCAGGGTGTTTGACTGAGTGGTCTGCAACTCGTACAAAAGGCTGTGGTGTGTACTAGTATGTCTATGTATGGGTGCACATAAAAGAACACAGAGTTCCTTCAAGGAGGGGTTCCTGGGTCTATCTTCCATGTTAATTACGTAAATTAGGGAGGAACTTTTTGACAGTTTTGGCTAAAAAATCATGCGAAAAGTGCTCAGATTGGTGAGAAACTGCATCATTTTGAAAGAATCTCTGGGGGAGCAGCAGCTCCCTTTATCTCTCCCATTCTACCTGGCTACGAGCCTGTGTACTTAACCTCTCTAATGTTCATGATCAATACTAAATGTAAAATTTTCACATTTTTTATATTTCTACTATTCATATTGACCAATCCCCATTCATGTCATTTTAACAGGTCCCTTCATTACTTTACACCAGTGTTTATTAATCCCTTGTTTTCTAGTCGTATGTGCTTTTATTATTCAGTTTCACAATCTATTGTTTAGCCATGCGTTTAACATGTTTGCATGCTGAGTTTGTTTTATGTAATGTTTTTTGTTCGAAATATGGTTTACACATTCACTCAATTGAGTTGGGGTGTTGCCCCATTACTAGTTAAAGTTGCCTAGAGTTTGTGACTGTACATACACAAAGTATTTCAAATATATATTTTAGAAAACATTTTATATTTGATTGCCACCCAAGGGTCTTCCACTCACCCATTACATAAACAAAACATGAACTCTAATAAAAATGCCAACAAGACTGCAAGGGAAACTTAATCTATGAATTGGACTTTGCCATATCACATGTATTAGTCCCGTGACCAGGGAGGGGGAGGAGGGGGGTTGAGAGACGACCCTCTCCCCTAGCCACATTTAATGGAGTTCCTTATATATTTTGCGTGATGAAACATGTGTTCAAGAACAATGTAACTTTGCATGAAAAATTGTAAATAAAAAAATGAGGGACGATGGTGAAAATGACGAATGCATTTTGAAAAAGCTTGTTGATGGGTGGATTAAACATGGATTATAAGATAATCCAATTGATCTGGAAACTATTCTTTGAACTTTTCTTGAAGATTATAGATTCGCCTTTCAAAAGCATTTACTTTTTACAGCCAGAAACTACTCACAAAAAATTATCAACTGTCAAAAGTCTGTTGCGATACTTTCCCTGCTCCTTTGAAGAAAATCAGACAAGCGGTTTTCCAGAAATGACGATGACAAGATTTATTGAAAAACCTTCTAGATGGCCGCCCAAAAGTTGGAACTTTTTGAGGTGGTGCTATGGCATTAATGTCGAAACAGCCATAGTTTTTTCCTTTCCTGATGACAATTGTGAATTATTGTGTTTTATGGATTTTGGCGAAGGCTTTGCAAATTGATGTTGACCCTTTGAAATGCCTATGGACTTTTGCGATTGGATTTTGTCTTTCCCACATCATTTGAGACTAAATGCTACAACTTTTTTTTGATGTTATGAGTATGGGCTTTCAATTTCCAATTTTTTCTTCAACATGTATTGTAATGACTTCAGTATGAATGGAATGTCTGTTGGTATTCTGGTCTGTTCTGGATTGTGATGTTGGACCTTTAATGATGGCGGATATGGAGTAATAGACATTGTTTCTTTTCAGGTAAGATCATGGTTTTTGGGGTATATGGCTCTTATTCTTATGAATGACTCCGTTACTACATGTACTTTTGGTCCTTTCCCTTTGACACATGTGCTTAGATATTTGGTTTCTTCCCATTGGGATTTGTGCTTACATATTTCCATGGAAGTCTAAAATTGTTCCCTTCTTTAGATAAGACAATTAGAAATTTGTCAAACCTTGGCAGGTCAGAAATTCCAGAGTGATCCAAACAATGTTTGGTAATAATCGGTAGACAAAATCTTAAAATAATTGATATATGATATATGATTTAAAACTGAAGGGTATATAGTATATTTTCAATTCAAAATCAGATGATATGTTTCAATAAAACCCCAAAACATCTCTTTGGATTTCATTTCAGTTTGAAGAGATGAAGCCTAAGAAATTGCAAGCAGATATGGCAAGCAGACAGAGCAAAGTAAAGAGTTCTGGGAAGAAAAAGATTGGTATGCAATTTTATTGTTATGCAATTTTATTATTTATTTCAAGAACTCGAGCTTTTTATTGAACTTGGGACTCATTAAAAAATCTTGACAAAATTATGGATGCCAAAATTGAAAAATGTAAAACAATAATAAAAAAAAAATTCAATATCAATTTCTTAAAACTACTGTTAACTGTAGTGACATTTGTTTATACAATGCAACATACCTGTAATTGCTTATAAAGTTACTAAATAGTAAAAAATTCTACATCTATTACATCTATATTTACACCACAGTTACACCTGAAATTTTAAGCACTTTCGGGATGGAAAATTCAAAATGGCCACCTTAACATTTACCCAGACTGCCTAAAAACTAATCAGTTCTTAACTTTCGATAGAAACATCTCTAAAATTTTAGGATGAATCCATGAAACCTGTAAACAACCCTCAAGAGACACATTTTAAGGTATTAATTCATAGTGTATCAGCTTTTTTTCTACAATTCAGATTTTCCTGAAAAAAATCCTGGTAAAAGATATACTGATGTATTACAAAATATGTGAAAATTGGAAACATTGACCGTTTAGTCATTTCTAAACAAGCCTCGACAGACAAGATTTTAGGATGGAAAAATCCAAAATAGCCACCTTAACATTTATCAGACAAGATTTTAGGATGGAAAATCCAAAATGGCCACCTTAACATTTACCCAGAATGCCGAAAAACTAATGAGTTATAAACTTTCATAGGTAGAAACATCCCTGAAAATTTCAAATGAATCCTTCAAACGGTTTGGCTGGAAACCTGTAGACAAGCCTTCAAAGACAAGATTTTAGGACGGAAAATCCAAAATGACCGCCTTAACATTTACCCAGAATGCCGAAAAACTAATCAGCTCTAAACTTTCATAGGTAGAAACATCCCTGAGAATTTCAAATGAATCCCTCAAACAGTTTGGCTGGAAACCTGTAGACAAGCCTTGACAGACAAGATTTTAGGACGGAAAATTCAAAATGGCCACCTTAACATTTACCCAGAATGCCGAAAAACTTATCAGTTCTAAGCTTTCATAGGTAGAAACATCCCTGAGAATTTCAAATGAATCCCTCAAACGGTTTGGCTGGAAACCTGTAGACAAGCCTTGACAGACAAGATTTTAGGACCGAAAATCCAAAATGGCCACCTTAACATTTACCCAGAATGCTGAAAAACTAATCAGTTCTAAACTTTCATAGGTAGAAACATCCCTGAGAATTTCAAATGAATTCCTCAAATGGTTTGGCTGGAAACCTGTAGACAAGATTATTCGGGACGCCCGCCCACCCGGCAAACTGATTACAATATAGCACCTTAGGGTGCGATAATAACTAGAAAACAGCAAGTCCAAGTATAACAATTCCAACAGAACAAAACATATTTTATCAAATACATGGTGTTAAAAAAACGCAACCTAAAGAAATCGCTATATCTTGAAAAATACTGGTTCAATTATGTTCATATTTTCAAGAAATAAAGAAGAGACTGTGCATATATAGCTCCTGTAAATGGTTAATTGTAAAACATGATGCCTTGGACACCTGCTCAAAATAGACAGTTGTACTAAGAAAATACGAAAAACCCAGTCAGGGGTGACTGCAACCGCAAACAACTAAATAACTTCCTAACCATAGTGTTTTGGGTCTTCAAATTTGGCACAAATCATCTTCATTCACTGTATGGTAAATCTGTAGAGTGAAATCAAAATCACTTCAGGAACTTTACAGTCATGGTCGAAATGCTTTCAAATCACATTCTAATGCCCTGGTTCAGGCAGACTTAAGAAGGCATTTTGACCATCTGACTGTAAAGTCCCTGGAGTGATTTTGATGAAACTCCACAAATTCACCACACATTGAATGAGGATAATTTTTGCCAAATCTGAAGTGCCAAAACTGCATCTGTGGTTTTAAACAACAAACTACAAAGCATCTAATCTTCAAATGCCCTCTGTTGAATGTTATAAGAGAGAAACTTTGGGGGGAACTCAGGAACATGCCAGAAATGAACTTTTTCTTTACAGGATGCTCTATAGAGCAAAAGCTGAATATCTTAATGTATGGCAGAGATGGAGTTAGCATAACATGCAATTCTTCAATATTGAAGCATTTTACATCCTTTTTGTGTGGATGCATTGATATAATTATATAGTTTTTAACACATTCCTGCCATGCATACATACATGTTGGTAGTCATTTTGTTGCTATTTTGTAAATTTGAATAAACTTTGTATTAACAGGGCCAATAATGCTGATTTCAGCCTCGGCCCTGTCATTTGTAGATAATTTTGTAAAGTAAAATAAAGAAACCATAAAAACTAAAGTGCCAAAACACTATGGTTAGAAAGTCATGTGATTTTATTGCTGTGGCAGTCACCTCTGAGTGGGTTTTCATATTTTCCTAGTACAACTTTCATTTGAGCAGGTGTCCAAGGCATCATGTTTTACAACTTACTGACAACAGGAGCTATACATACACAGTCTCTTCTTTCTTTTCCTGAAAAAAATGAACATAATTGGATTAGTATTTTTCAAGCTATAGTGATTTTTCATTCGTGTTTTCGTATTTTGCTAGTACAACTGTCTTTTGACCAAGTGTCCAAGACATCATGTTTTACAACTAACTAAAAACAGGGGCTATACATACACAGTCTCTTCTATCTCTCCTGAAAACATGAACATAATTGGATTAGTATTTTCCAAGATATAGCGATTTCTTTGGGTTGCGTTTTTTTAAACACCCTGTACCCCGCTACAAGAGTATTGTCTCCCTTTGGCAAATTCTTCATCCATGAAATGCTTAGCAGAGGTCATACAAAGCTGGTAACTGGTTATCATAATTTTCTTTAGAAATGGCGGCTATTTTGATTTCAGCATTTCTTTTGACCAGAGTTCTTTGCCAACTAATAATGGGCCCTTGGGCTTTGGCTTAAATACATGAAATATATGTTAAATAGCCATTGTTGTGAATACACTACCTTTCAAACTGTAGTACTTATTACTTTGGTTGGAAATGAAAAATTTAGATTTTCACAAAACATCAAAGCATTTTTAAAGTGGCAGGCTTCTTATTTTGTATTTGAGTAACCAAAAATAATATTTACATGAAATAAGGTGGCCTTTTGAATGATCCAGAAGCTAGTAGGTATAGTCACCAGTTTCACCACCTGGTGGCTAATTCGGGGCAAATAACATGGCATGATATTAGGAAGTTCTTGAATATTCATCAGCTTTAGTGGTTCAATTTTTATATTACCCTGATGTATCTGATTGTTATACAAATTAAAATATGTAAGAAAAGATATTTCACTTTTTTATGATTTTATAACATAGGGTCTATAGGGAATCTCCTCGACCTAGAAGTCTCATTTTCAATGAAATTTAAATTTTTAAGTTGATAAACACTTTTTAAAACCACATTTCTAGATGTAATTTTCGTGTAGATTTCAAATATGATATCACTTTGAATTTTTAATGACTGAAATCAAGATTATTTCTGCTTGCATCTAGTCTTCCTTCTTGAGAAGATTTCTACCTCCATATGGCATCAGCAAATTAAATTGATAAAATGGTATTTGAATCGTGACTATTGTTTTAACATTGAAGTCTATGACAGTCTGGCCTGCCCAAACAAATAAAAACATAGGGCTGACATCTATTCATTCAGTTTTATTCAGCTACAACTCCCTTATTTATCAATAATTTGAAAATCATGATTCCTAAAGGTCTCCCTTGACAAAGTTTTCTGCTAGAATCCTATCCGAGGCAATACTGCATATTAAATTCCTTACTCTCCAACATGGGGGCTCTAACGCTAATCTGTGAATGGTGCGTAACTATCTTGAATAACTAACACAAAAATATTCTTATTAGGGAAACATCCAGGAGTTCAGAGAAAGAAAGCGAAATCAAAATGTGATGAAAAGTTTATATCTACAAAAGTGGCAAGGAGACCGGAGACGTATAGCTCAGCTTATGATCAACCATGTGACAAAGAAGGTAGTGTATAATATAATATACAGTTAAAATAACAATTGAAAACAAGCATATAAATATTTGAATAATTTAAAACTGGATTAAGAACTCACTTTGAATCATAAGAGACTGACATTGTAGTAAAATAATTGGGAGTTTTATTCTGAACATTCACTTCCACTAACCATATTAACTGCCCAGATAAGAGGAACACATTGAAACATATTAAGTAACACAGATCTGAAAGGAGGGGAGTTGTTTGCATTTCACTTATGTTTTTCATCCAAAAAACATATAGGATGTGTCCCAGTCTTTTTGCTGACACTCCTACTAGTTATTAACAAAACATTAATTTTCAATACATGAATCTACTTCACCAAACAACAACGTCTTGTAATCACAGTCTAGCTACAGGTGCTGCCCTCTAGATCAGCGGAAGCACAAATAGTTTGACCCATTTGAAAAGATTCATTGTTGTTTTAAGAGTCAGTCAGTGCATTCTCCAAGTAAATCAGTGCATATGGAGGAACAAATTATTGTCTAAGAATGCACCTTCTTATTCTCCTCTTTGTAGGCTTTATTTCATAAATACTTATTGAACGTTGTTGATAATCATAGATTTAATAATGATATTTGGCATGAAATCATATTACTATCTAATCCAATTCATCAACAAAGAATTTTGAGGAGAAGAGGATTTATTCTTTGTGAAAAGAAAATTAGAATTGATTGAGGAATGTATAAGTACACATACATTTCTGAATGCATAAGTACACATTTTTGCGAAACAAAAAAATTCATACCAATGTGACACTTGTGAGGGAAAATTCTGTCTGGCCGTGGTCCCACTCAAGGTTTTGTCTACTTATATAGTAATGCCACTGAACTGTAAGTATTGGCTTTGAGTAGATATGCATCTCTCATGAATAATTAATATCAGTATGAATGGTCTGATTACAAGACCTTGTAGTTTGGGAAGGCAGGCTTACAAGGGCTTAGAGCTGGGCCAATGATGGCCAAAACAAGAGTGAAGTGGCTTGTGTTGTGCTGATATTTGGCAACTGTACTGGCTAACTTGTTAGCCTGTAAATAAAAATGTTAACACAAACATCAAACAGGAAACAGTGCATAACTTAATGAATCGCTATTTCAGATGAAACTGAGAAGACAAATCCTCAAGACACTACCACTGAAGTATTTCGTTTTAGCAAAGAAGATAAACAAGAAATACTGGGGTAAACAACAATATTTAAAACTCTAAACACCATTCCTTATACATCTGTATTGCAAATACTTTCAATGAGTCAGAAAATGGAGAATTTTGGAAGAACTATTAACAAGGAATAAACATGACAAAAAGTCTCCACTGCACCTAGTTGCTAACAATATTATTGGTCAAACCTAAAGCCAATTTTGAATTTCTGAGAAGCTGTAGATGATTTTGAATAAATAGTACCGTGGGTACTGGGCTCACATGGGGTTGCTCAAAAGTTAATAATGGCTAAAATGGCAGAAAAAGCAGATATATTTTTTTGCTGATTTTTTGTAACAAAATTATTTCATACAACTACCCTTTACAGTGACATGGCTTTTTAAAATGCAGGACACCTGAAATTATTTGTAAAGCTAGGAAATGGGCCAAAAGAGAATTTCGCGAGACAAAAATGGCGACCATTTTGAAAATAGGCGAGCTTTTCATAGGAGTCATAGGGGAGTTTTCTGTATTGATGTTGAACTAAAATAATCCTATCAACAGACGTTTTAAAGTTGTACTAAAACTAATTTCAGAATCTCTTATTATCTTGTTTTTAGCACAAATCACATCCCTTTTGTTATTTTGACTACAAAGCTTTTGATATTTCCCCACACAACACGATTTATTAAGATAAGACTGTCAACCTCTAAAATGTATTTATTTTTGCGCACTTTTTTAGGTCACCTGACCATGACAGTTTTGACGTACCGTGTGCCAAGTTATTCTGGTGCTAAACCAAAAAGTTGTTGTTGCAAACTACTACGAAGGCTGAACCAAAGTAGAAATATATATTAGTTTCACATTCGCACCCTTTCCAATAGCCATAAATATTTCTAATTGATTGAACTCCACAAAAAAAGTACTTGTGGAAAAAGCGCTGCAATATTATTCATTACACATACAAGGAATTGATCGAAATGCATTTGTTAAACCGTATATCAATAACTGAAAATGTTAACCCAATAATTATATTTAGGCCTTACAGCATTACATGCGGGTTAAAAAGTTTTAATCCCCAAACACGGGCAATGATTGCTGTTATATAACTTACATGCTTTCAATAGCGTTTCAGCTTGATTGATTCCGCACTCTTTTGCAAGTGATATTATACCCTTCACATAATTGATGAAAATAGCCTAAATCATGCAATACTTGGCTCAACATAAGAGCGAATAACTTGCTTTTGGAAGCCAGGGTTTCATTTTAATTTACGAAATCCTATTTCGCGTGCGGCAAATTGTCTCAACCACACACGTCATGTCATGTGACATAAAATTTCTGCTCTGGAAATGAAATCAGTTTTGCCGCAAAAACAGACACGTGCTGACTTTATATCCCCGATATCATGATAAAAAGAACTTTTGGAATTGTTAATGGTTAACCATCGTAAAGTGTGGCCTTCATACAGTAAGATAGAATAAATATATCTAAATCAAGTAAAATGGTTTGAGTACAACTTTAAGGCAAATGGTCCAAAGGTGGATTTCCCGAGACAGATGGACAAATCAACTAAAATGGCTAAACATAAAAAACGGATGTAATTTTTTGCCCAATTTTTGTATCAAAATTATTTCATTCAACTACTCTTTACAGTGACATGGCTTTTTACAATGCAGGACACCTGAAATTATTTGTAATGCTAGGAAATGGGCCAAAGGTGAATTTTGCGTGACAAAAATGACTGCCAATATATAATACGCTCACTTGTGAATATATTATATACTCACTCGAGTATAAACACGATATACAGAATGAACCATTATATAACCTTATATTATCTTGGGAATACTATAGCCAAAAATGAAAATTATCGGTTGACTATTTTTAAAGATAGTTCTCTAGGAGTAGCTTTCCTTGTCTTCATTTGTTACGCATAACGCCTTAATTATGAGGTCTTACCCAGACTTCAACATGGCAAATACTCTTTGATATTTTAAGAAACAAAAAAATAATTAGCTTCTAAAAGACAATTCAAAGACAAATTTATAAGTCATATACATTTAGAATATACAGTACAAGGGAATTTCATAGGATGAAATAAGCGGAAATCATGTAATTATCACATCAAACTAAATATGGTTCAGTAATTGAATATTTAAGAGGCAAAAATGTCCAAATGCATGTATTCACATGAATTATTTTCTTTTTTAGGATGAAAGATCATGTGCAGTCTATTGCATGGAGTTTGAAACACCAAAAACCCATAATCACACTCTATGAAAAAGATTACAAAGAAACCAAACGAAAAATTATTGACAAATATGCAAATAAACTTGGTGGAAACCATAAATTTGTTTTTGAAAGAGTTCATCAAAATCCAAGAATGATTTCCACCTATCACGATGCCATGTTACGATGGGCTGTTTTCTCTGATGTATCTTCCTCTGGAACAGTGGGAGGGTATGTGTCAAAAGGTGAAAATGTTTGGTATGCTGCAACATGTAGGCATATTTTTGCCCCTCATAAAAGGGGTGATAGAGCATGTCAATTTTTAGATGAGAACAAGGTTGAGCACATAGGTACAATAGATTACCATATTGATATGACTGATGAGGTGTGCACTGGGAATGATAATATTCCATTCACTTTCGATATTGCCCTGGTAAAATTGAGTTCAAATCTAAATTCTATGAATAACAGAAGCATTTGCAATTGTAAACTGTTTGAATTTGAAAGCTTGGAAGATCTTGAGAGAAATCTTGGTGGCAAAGTGGTGCAAAAAATCGGTAATGCAAGTAAGTTGACCAAGGGGTTAGTAGACAAGGTATATTGGGGAGCCTTAAATGTAGATGGTAAAGATACCAAAGTGAATAATTCTCTGTTCATTGAAAATGAAGAGAAAGGTGCACCCTTCTCCATACCAGGTGACAGTGGTGCATTTCTCTATATGAAAGAAAAAAATGTCAATTGGATAATAGGTATGTGCTACTTGGTTGGAAAATCACCAGATAGTAAGAAAACTAGTGTAGTTTTTCCTCTGGCCAATGCTCTGAATGAGGCAATTCTTAAAAAATATCCCAATGACTTCAGACCTGGCCAGAAGTTCAATGTAAATTGTGGGGGGCAGATTTGTGATACAGAAAAAAACCTTTTATCTGTACCAAAGAAAAAAAGAAATAGAATCCATAGAATGAAACCCTACCCTACACCTAGAAAGAGGAATTATAAATAAAAGGTGCATTAATACCTACTAATATATGCCCAAGGGACAATGCTTCAATCAGTAATAACACTTACTGTATATGCATTTAACCACACAATAGAATGAACTGTATTTCACATGTAATAATGATCAGGAGGTGATAAATCTAGATATACCTTGATCTAAATTGTAATTATTTCATAGTTCTATGTAAGTTCATCTCTCTGGTTAATATATCAGAAACAAGTCAAATTCTTTACTTCAGAGAATATTTTTAATTTATTGAGACTTTCGACTAATATCCCTTAGTCTTTTTCAAAATATAACAGCATGTATACATTTATGTGACATCATAAACAGACAATGGAAAATTTAATTATGTAACAAATGACCTAGTAACCTAAAAAATAACAACAACAAAAAACATAGATACGAAAAAACGAATGACCTAATAATAACCTTAAGATAAATATATCATCGTTATGGTTACAATTAAAGTTTATAAGTTTATAAGTTAAGTACGGTAAGTAGGCATAAATTGCCTGTTTAACCGATCAATACTTTTGAATTTGTTCATATTTAGTTAGTAACGGTGTATAAAGTGGTAGTCCACTGTATGGTCATACTTCATTGGGTGATTGTACCAGTGAGAGTCTAATCTGTTTTTGAACTGATTCACACTTGGTGCATTTACTTCCCATTCTGGTATACAGTTCCACTGTTTTATAACTCTCTGACTAAATGTTTGCTGTCTTAGGGTTGTACTGCAATGTGACTTTCGAAGATATTGTGTATTGCACCTTCTTGTATGGTGTTTGTCCTGTGGTTGTAAGCCAGGGAAAAGTGAATTGGAGTCTACATCATAAAGGTTGTTTATGTATTTGTAAGTCTCTATCATGTCACCTCTGAGTCTTCTGAAGGCCAGTGTTGTCATGTCTAGGACTTTGAGACGGTCGGAGTAAGAGAGTTCTCTGAGTGATGGGAGTATTCTCGTTGCTCTTCTTTGAACATTTTCAATTAATTCAATATCTTTCTTTAGATATGGGTTCCATACTGCATTTGAGTACTCCAATTTTGGTCTAACCAGTCCATTAAATAATAGTTTAAAGGTATCAAAGTCCCAATATTTGAAAGATATTTTGATCATCCCGAGCGTCTGGTTTGCTTTGTTTGTCACTATTTTAATGTGTTCACTAAATTTTAGATTTTGGTCCATATGAATTCCCAGATCTCTTTCACATTTTGACTTATTGACTGATATTTTGTCATTTGTACTTCTGCTCTTCATGGTATAATCACATTCTGTGTTTTTCCTTCCTAAATGCAACACTGAACATTTATTGGTGTTAAATTTTAACTGCCATTTATCAGTCCAGGTTTGAATGGCATCAAGGTCATTCTGGAGAAGTTGACTATCTATTGGGTTTGTCACATTTCTGTATAGTTTTGTGTCGTCTGCAAAAAGACTGATTTTACTGTGTTTTACCACATCGGGCATGTCGTTGATGTATATTAGGAACAAAATCGGCCCGAGCACGCTTCCTTGAGCTATACCGGACGTTACAGGCATCCATTCGGCTGATGTTCCATTCACCACAACTCTCTGTTGTCTTTGAGTTACAAAATGTGCAATCCATCTGTGTGCAATGCCCCGAACTCCCATGTGATTCAGTTTTAGAAGCAGTCTTTGATGGGGTACGGAATCAAACGCTTTCGCCCAATCTAAATAAATTGTGTCTACAGCGCCCCCTGCATCTATTAGTTTCGTCCATGCTTCAATAATTTCAAGTAGATTTGTTGTACATGACCTGTTTGGTAAAAATCCATGTTGGACTGTCGATAGTAGTTTGTTCTTCTTTACGTGGTTCAAGAGTTGGTATCTTATTGTGTTTTCTAGCAGCTTACATATGATACTAGTCAGGCTCACTGGTCTATAGTTGGAGGGGTTTGACTTGGAACCTTTTTTGAAGATGGGGGTGACATTTGCTCGCCTCCAATCCTTTGGTAGATATCCATCCTTCAGTGATCTTGTAAAAATGATGTATATTGGGTGGGCAATTATATCTGCCAGTTCTTTTAGAATTTTTCCTTTCATGTTGTCGGGGCCAGGGGACTTGTTTATTTTTATTGTCTCCAGGGCTATCTTTACCTCTGGTTTAGAAAGTGTCCATTCTTCAATGTATGAACCTATATATATATAATCAAGTGTAGGCATGTTAACTATATCTTCTTTTGTGAACACATTAGCAAAAAAGCTGTTCAGTAGATCTGCCTTTTCTTGTTCTGTTTCTGTCTTTGTGTCCTCATCTTTGTCTAAATCTGGTATTCCTACTCTGGTCTTTGTTTTAGAGCCAGTATATTTCCAAAACATTTTAGGGTTTGACTTTGCTGATTTGGCTATATTCTTTTCATATCGTCTTATGGCTCTCCTAACCTCAGCCTTTGCTTCTTTGCAAATCCTCTTATAGGCCTTTTCATCCTCGTCAGTACAAGATTTGGTCTTTCTTCTTTTAGACATCTTGTTGTAGGCTCGTCGTTTTGTCCTTATCTTCTTCATACACTCATTGTCTATCCACGGTTCTTTCTTTTTTCGAGGTTTTGTGGTTGGGATGTGTTTTTTTGTGGTTTTATCCAGCTTGTCTTTGAAGAAAATCCAGCATTCCTCGGTAGATTTTCCTTGGAATGCTATTTCCCAGTCGATGTCCAAATCCGCTTTCATGGCTTCAAAATCTCCTCTGTCAATAACTTGTATCTCTTTGGGGGGTGGTTCAAACTTAGTTCCACAGCTCATTTCCATAGATAACATACAATGGTCACTTTTTCCAAGTGGCGAGATAGTTTTATTGTTTGTGATTGTATCTGGTTCATTTGTGATAATTAGATCTAGTATATTGGGTTGCTGGTCAGGTCTAATACGAGTTGGCTCTTCTTGGTGCTGTGTCATAAAATTATCATCAATTATCTCTAAAAGTTTTTCAGCTATTTCTCTATTCTGTCCCCCCTTTACTGTTTTCAGGTTCCAGTTCACAGATTGTTTGTATTTGTAACATGAGACTTAGCGAATTAGCTTGGGAGCTGTTAGGACTTCTATACAAGCATCCAATTGTGGCTTTATTTACTCCTGTACCTACGTTTAGCCATATTGATTCGTTACTGTCATCAATAAGTTCTATTTGGGAGCATTGTAGTCCTGATTTTACATATACAGCTAATCCCCTGGTATTTTCTACTTCTACATTATTAAAACATTCATATCTATCTATGTTTAATTCAGTACTCATTATGGGATCTCTGGTGTTTTTAGGTTTCACTTCTGTTAAAGCTATGACATCTGGGTTTTCTATCTCTATTATTACATTCAGCTCATCTTTTTTATTTATCAACGAGTCACAATTGGTATAAATCAGTTTAAGAGAGTCGTTATGTACACTATTTACACTATTTACAGCACTAGTAGCTTGTCATTTTTTCCTGGAGATTGGAGTCTTACTTTTGTGTCCCCGGTTTTTCTTTGGTTGGTAAGAACCTGAGGACTGATACATTTTATATTGTTGTTGTTGTTGTTCGTCTGGCGCATGATAGCTAGAGGCTTCCAGTATCTCAGCTCGTCTCTCTAGAGTTCTGACTTGTGGTCTAGGTAAGGGAGGAGTATCGTTTCTGTAAGATCTCTCCTGATGGTGACTTGCTGATATTGCCTCTTCCAGTATCTCAGTTCGTCTCTGTGGAGTTCTGACTTGTAATCTAGGTGTGGGAGGAGTATCGTTTTTATAAGATCTCTTCTGGTGGTAACTTGCTGATAATGCCTCTTCAGCTCGTCTCTGTGGATTGTGGTACTTCTTAGGTGGTTGCCATGGTGAGACTGGAGGGTGATATGTTTGGCTTTCCATATCGGATTCTATTGTTTCTATTGTGATATCAGGGATTTCTTCTTCATCTGAACTAGAAATTTGACGCCTATTTCTATTTCTCTGAGGTTGATCATAGTGTCTACTTGGTCGAGGAGGGTCAATTCTAATCTGACGTTTCCTGACTATTTTCCCATTTCTTATTATAAGGTCAGTTTCACCATTCTCTAGACGTCTGTTCCTTTCCTGACGTAATTCAAAAGCTAATTTTCTTTCATGAGGGGTCAGGTCTGCTTGAATGTATGTGGTCTTCCATGACATACTTTTTCTGAGTTCTGGGGCTGCTTTCAATACATTGTCACGATCTTCAGTCTTGTCGAAGATGACCAACAATGGTCTTGTAGAGTCGCCATCAGGGGTCCCCAACCTTGTTGTACGGGAGACTCTTACACTATCTAGTCTTAGCTGGAATTGAATTAAATCACAGACTACACTAGTGTCTTCCATCTGACGCCGCCTTGCAGTATCTTGCCTACTTTCCGGTACATTAGAGAAGACCAGGTTATTTTTCCTTTTATCTCTTTCTTCAAGTTCAGATATTATGTCTGGCTTTTGTTGAACTATTTTCTTCATTTCCGATACGTTTGTTTGTATTTCACATATTTGTGTGGTGGTTCCATTGTTTTGTCTATCCTCATTCACGGTCTGGTCAACCTGTTTGATTTCCTTCTCCAAGTTTTCCAGCTTATCGATAAGGATGTTATTACTTGTCTTAAGTGTCTCTGTCACTATTGCAAAATCGTTGTACATTTTTCGCTCTAATTCCAAGATGTGTTGGGTTATCTTACTATCAGCTGTTTTTGCAATAATTTCACTCTGCATCTTTAGGAACTTTTGCGATATTGTGTTGGTTAGTCTCTTGTTGGACGCAGAAATGACTTCATTAATTTTCGTATTTGAGATGGTATTAGATTCCAATAGGTCTTTGACATTGTCTTCACATGATACACATTACCAATGAAGATTTTTATGAGTATCAATTGCCTTCAGTGCTGGTTTAGTCAAGTTTTGGCATTTATTACAGGACCACTTCCTACATAGTTCACATTCTACTACACTCACATTTTTCTTACAGCACTCGCATAAGTGATTAGCTATCTCTTTAGGTTTGGTTGAATCCTGTGATGGTAATTCTGGATCGTTATTT